TTCTTGATGTGCATGAACCCTAAACTCAGGTCAGACTCATCTCCTGCTAATCCAACATCCTACTTTTACATCTGCCTCTTCCCAGCCCTAAACACCCTTCCTCTCTCCATGGAGCTAAGTTTTACCCCCACCTTCAGGTCTCATCGAAAAGTCATCTCTCCTGTGAAAACGTCCCAAGTACTCTAGTTCATGCTGATTTTTTTCCCCATCTGAGTTTATGCTGACATTCAGTCATTTGGATTCACCAATTAATTCAACATTTATTTATTGAGCACTGACAATATGCTGGCAACATAATGCTAATGTTAGTGGATTTTGTCTCTTTTATATTTTTCACTCACTCTATGTCTATATATTTATCATCAAGAAAACCTTAAGAACTGTATCATTTTAATTTGTTTTCTCACAGAATTGGGCACAAAATAGGAATAAATATATCTTGAACTGCCTAATTATATACGTGATAAACTTATTTAGGATAATTAAATAGGTCACTTGTTAACTTGTCAACTTATGGTCACCAACCATATTAATTGGGCGATGGGCCTTCTTTTTTTTTTTAATCCTCACCAGAGGACATTTTTTCCATTTTTTTGTTCAGATAGAGTGGGAGAGAGAGAGAGGAAGAGAGAGAGAGAGAGAGAGAGAGAGAGAGAGAGAGAGAGAGAGAGAGAGAGAGAGAGAGAGAAACATCGACGTGAAAGGGACACCTCGAGTGGCTGCCACCCACATGACCCAACCAGGGCCAGGGACAAACTGCAACTGAGGTACGTGCCCTTAGCGGGAACCGAACCCGGGTCTCTCTGGACCGCAGGCCAACGCTATAAACGCTGAGCCAAATTGGCCAGGGCTTTTTAAACAAATATTTTTTCTTTATTGATTTGAGAGAGAGAGAAAGGGAGAGAGAAATACAATCATTGATGAGTGAGAACGTCAACTGGCTGCCTCCTGCATGCCCCCCACTGGGGATCGGGCCCACAACCTGGGCATGTGTCCTGACCGGGAATCAAACTGGCGACCTCTTGGTGCATGGGTCGATGCTCAACCAGTGAGCCACACTAGCCAGGCAATGGGCCTTCTTTTTAACAAACATTTTTCATTATGCTCAACTTCATTAAATCTTATACAGTGACAAAGTTTGCTTAAAAATTTTTATTAATAGCTCATTTTCATAGTTCAAAAAAGAGGATTACAGATGATAATCAGCAGAACCATTAAAAACAAAATCTCACCTCTACAGTGTTAGCCAGTGTGTAGACTTTATTACATAGGCACATATATATATATTTTAAAGTAAACCAGTTTTACATAAAATTAATCACAATAGTAAAAAAGTTTCATCAAATGTGGATGGATGGTGAATGAAGGAAAATACAAGCCTTGGATCAGCAAAATCATTCAGTGGATCTTGAGTCCATCCATCCTGACATATGGAAATTCACTATGGATATTAACACAAATGGAGGGTGAGGAGGGTGCTCTTCTATCGCTCCCTGGCTAAAACACTGTCTGTTTAATTTCTGGAACAGAGTAAAATTTTCTCCAGGCTCTGCTGGCAGTTGGACACAAAGGTTAAATGAATGCTGGCTTAGGGTCAGAGGAGTTGATAGTCTTCCCTTCTGTCACCCCCATACTTTAAAATTCTTAAACACTTTGGTCCCATAGGTTGCTGTCAGGATCTGCACATCTGCTTCCCCAGGACCACATGGGGTCACTGACCCTGAAGCACGTGGCACTTGAGGCTTCAGTCACAGTGTGGCTAGGTGGTGTCCACAACTATCACTGAGTTTGCATGGAGGCAGGGGATGCTGGACTTCCTTGCTCTGTCCAGTTCCAATGGAGCCATCACACTTGACCAACTCTAAGAAACTACAATCGTACTAACACATACTACAAAAGAGATGCTGTTCCGTAGTCTGGACATTTTCGAAACTACATTTTTATGTTACTAAGAGACAGTGTGGATAGAGAGGACTGATCCTTTCTCTCATCTCATTTTGCCAGAACTATGACAATCGTCCCAGGATGTTTACTGAGTGATTTTTCCTCCCTCAGTTTCTGCAGTCTTTTGTATAAAAGGAGATAACTATATTAATCGTTGATCATCCTAACGCACCTCAGTGCCTTGGAGGGTTAGACCTACTTCTCCACTAAGTGGTGCCCAAATCCGACATCCGCGCTGGACAGCTCTCTGCTCCTCTTAAGCTCATTGCTGTGTGCAGGCAGGCTGATGCCAGTGGAACTTGCGGAGCGGTGTCCCCGCTGGTTTTCGCCATCCTTTCGATCCTCCACATCTATCTGTTTGTTTTTTTAAGGCAACTACAAACTAGAGGATTGCAGGGGTTTTTTGTGTGTGTTTCCATTGTCGAGGCAGATGGTAAAGGACAGAGACACGCAAAGGAAAAAGATGGGCCTGCTGATTTTCCCAATCTTCACATTTTAAATGTCTTGGCTCTCAAGACTATAGGAAGAGTCCTGTTGACATGAAGTATCGCTGACAATGGCACCAAAGGGTATTTTGTAAAATAATCCATAAAACTGGGAAGGACCCGAGGGAACAATTAGTCCAGCTGCCTCACTTTCTTAGCTGAGGTTACTGAAGCCCAATTGGGAAAATCGCAAGTCACTTAACATGGTGATTATCTCCATGACTATATCCTTTAAAGATGCACAGAAACCCCAATTTTATTCCCACCCATAGTTTACACCAACAGTCCTCGGGGTCCTTGTGTTTGGCGTTAGCTCCCTTTAGGGGAGCTGGCTGCTAGCACAGCACCTTGACGGAGTAGACACTTGATAAATACTTGTTGAAGTGCATTCATTCTACTCTTTACCCCTGCTATGCAGTCTGCTATTTTCCCTAGAGCTCCTTACTCTTAAGGGGTAGCCTCTAGTTCAGGGATTTTGAGGTTTGACGTCAAAATTCATCATCTCTCTCTATTCTCATTCGTGTTCAATATGAGAGGATTCATATAAAGTCTACTTTTGGAATCTGTTCTTTTATAGCTTTTCATTACATACAATGTCATCTGCCTCTCTCCAGGCACTACTGAACATATTACTATGGGCTGGGAATTGCATGTCCAGAGATATTTTTCAATTCTCAAAACAAAAGCCAAGGACTAGACTCTCAGATTTGCTAAGGCACACGAGAATAAATGCAAACATTCCATATTTCTGCTTTAGTCAACATGTGGAAGAACATTACTGACACATATTTATCTTCCACATGTATGACCGTCTAACACATCTCATTCACTACACATCTCATTCACGTTTAATTCCTTAAACACATAAATATGTCAGGATATCCACAGCAAGTATCGTTTCCAAAAAGCACAATAGAGAAAGAAATGTGAAGAAACGGTGATTTGTAGGGAACTAGCACTTAGATCTTGGTGACGTTCAGAAAACCTCTTTGGAACCTGGGGAGAGTACCATGGCCGATTTATATAAGGCGCTGTCGTGGTTTGGATAGGACTTGGGAGAGAAGTGTTAAGAGATGATTCCTTTCCTAGAGTCGAGTTTTTGTGGACTTAATTTGTTTTGTCAGTTTTGTTTCAATGTCCTGTTAAATTGCATTCTTAGCATGACCTAAACCCTAGATAAGCCAGAATTAACTTACCACCATCCTTTGTAGGAAAGCTAACGTGACCATTCCCAGCGGACACAAGTTCTAACAGTAGGCTGCACGGCAGCGCTTCTGACTCGAGTCAGTGTGATATTCCCCAGGCTGTTAGGAACTATTTCAGCTCATCCTCTGCTTTCCTACCACTCAACTTAGTACGAGACATAAAGCAGCTCTGAGATCGTGATTTCGTTTCGTGAGTTTCAGCCTCACTATTTCAGGCCTCCACCTTACTGTGGTGACAAAAGAGGTACACAGTAACCTTGGTCAGCAGTTAATGTTGGGGAGAACCGACCTAGCACCCCAAGACTGGCTGTGTTTTCTATCAGATGCTTTCTTCTCCCGCTGGCCATTCAAATCTGTAATCAAATCAAAGATTACAGATTTGTCTGACTTACAGGAACAAAGCTGAATCAATAATCATGACTATGGACTGCATCTGTGCTACTGTATCTTTGAGCACAACAACGTGTTTTCAATATGAATAAGGTACATTATAGTTTAAATTCAGCTGCACATTAAATGGTGACAATTATCATTAGTTGACAGTAGAGGCAGGAATAAAAGAGAAGAAAGATTATTTAGTCCTCCAGGAAATACAGCATGTTTGCCTGCTGGCTTTAATATAAGTATCTGATGATAAGTAAGAGTTAAGTAGAGTCTTGGGGTCAGTGTTCATTCAGCAAACATTTATTGAGTACTTAATAATTTCCCTTTATTTCTTTCATATATGTTTGCCTTATCGGCAAGGATTTGAAGTGGTTGAAACCTATGACATTCCAAGCTTTGTGCTAAGTACTGGAAACAAAGACTAAGATATATTCTTTGTCTTCATGAATCACATTTCTTGGGAATGTGAATTTCTAGGGAAATAAACATCTGCCCTCACCCACTCACTGGATATGAGTAGAAATTACTCTCATTTCAATTAAGAAATACTTTACATTAAAAATGTTCTCAAGGGTTATGAGCCCACCAATAATGCAGTAAGGTGGAGGGGGAACCAAATTAAAAAAACCAAAACTGTCCAGATAATATTTACTATAAGCAAAAGGCAAAATGTTGATAAGGAATAACTAATACTAAGCTTACAAGAGTGGCAAAGGGGATTTAATGCCCCACTCAAAATACCTCATATTCTTGTTTGACGTATCATGAGTATTTGTCTTATCCTCTTACTATAAAATCACAAAGCAAGCCACTAGACTCAAAAGAAAGCACAGCCCTTTCCCTGGTCGCTGTGGCTCAGTTGGTTGGAGCATCATCCCATGGTTTGATTCCCAGTCAGGGCACATAACCAGGCTGTGGGTTCAATCCCAGGTCAGGGAGTATACAATTGATACAATTGATGTTTCTCTCTCTCTCTCTCTCTCTCTCTCTCTCCTTTTCTCTCTAAAATCAATTTTTAAAAAAAGCAGAGCTCTTGATAGGTGATATCTGATTTATGTTCTAATAGTAATACTATATATCGGTAAAATTAATTCACTTTGAATATTTCACATTATTGATAACATAGAATTATTTGTGACCACACCCACAAAATGCAGGTCCAGGTGACAACGTAGAATCTGCACCTCAGAAAGGTAATTGGCCCAACTGTGTTTTCTGTTTAGGGTATTAGCAAAACACTAGGTCTGGAAATACATGGTGTTATATCCCCTAACCCGCTACATGCTATCCATAATCAACTTCCCCTGAAGAGCAGAGGGAAAACAAATTTGATGAAATCAAGGTGGTAGTTTTTTAAAATTAGTAATAATTTGCGTGCTGAATATAAAGAAAGCATGGAAGGAATTCACCAAGTGGGGATAAGGGTCCAACAAGCAGAGCACAGGAGATGCTAACAGGCGAAGCAGAGATCTTAGGAGGGTGTGCAGACGCTAACCTTGGGTAAGGAAGGTGCCAGAACGACCTTCACCTTGCCTGCTCTTCAACTCATCTTGATGCTCCCGTGAGTAATCTCACGTGCTGTTGGTATGAGAGAGGAAGGGGAGGGCCTTGGAGAGCTCACTTGACAGTGCTCTCTGGGGGCCCCAATACATTTCAAGGAGCGTGAAAAACTACTCCTTAAAGGAAAAAAAACAACTAGAGTCAGAGAGTCCTGTTACTATTGAGACTAAACCTATATGCAGAAGGGATCTTAGTGGTCATCCAGCTCACAGTCAATGTAAGCATCCCGGACCGATCATTATTTTAACCTTTCTCTGGGCATTTGCAGCAACAGGAGATTTTACAACTTGAGTCCATTCCTCTATGAAACAACTCTCACTGGAAACCCCTTCTTATATTGAAGCAAACACCAGTCATGCATCAAGGTCCCCTTTGTTCCTATGTTTGCCCTTTGAAGCTACAGAATAAGTCTAAGCCCTCTCCCTTTTTATAGCACAACAGAAATTTCAATGCACCTGTTACATCATTTCCTCCTTCCCTGAACCCCCTTTCCAGCTATACCTTCTATTCCCCTTTTCCTTATATAATCAGACCCTTCACAACCCTGGACACCTGCCTCTGAACACAATCAATTAATTGATGTCTCTCTTAAATATGGTACCCAGAATTGAATTTCACCCTCCATCCAGACGCATACTTACCAATACAGCACACAGGGCTCCCTGGACTTCTAATGCCACAGGTTGAATAAAATAACTTTGTGGATAGCCACGATATACTCCTGATTCAAAACGAACTCCTATTTCCATAAGAAAACACTTCTACAGGAACTGCTCTGAAACCAAGACTTGCCGACACCCTCCCATCAACACACACACACACACACACACACACACACACACACACCACGCTGTACTTAGAGGACTGCATTTAAGAAAACTCAAAATACAATTTCTCATGAATGCCTATTCAACTTCATCTTTTTAGTTTCCATCTTATGCTCAGGTATTTCAAAAAAGTATAATATTTCTATATCCTAGTGTCAGTACTTAGTTAGAATTCAGTGAATATTCATTGAATAAATTAATCCTGAATCTGCCACTCTGCAGACTGGCCATATGTCTGTTTCTGTGTCATCTATAAATCTGATAAGCGTGCTCTGGCCCCCCATTCTATTCTTTGTGGAGACACAGGAAGGCAGACAGAAGCTGCCTTTAAATTGTAGAGCAGGTGCCCCCTTTGGGATGGCTGATGTAGTTTCTTGTGTGGTAAAAAACACATATACACACACCAACATACAAATAAGAAGCAGAGGTGCAGAGTGTGAGCAGGAACAGATGAAGGGAAAGATCGAGTGTCCCAGACTCTTAGAATCAGGATTTAATGTTCCCAATGTTTTTAAAAAATATATATGGCTTTCCTATCATCTTTACCCTAGCGTCTTCTGCCTTTTAGATCTATTACAATACTGTGATGACCAGACTCTGAGTTTCTGGGGAAAAGCTCAGATGAGCTTAGTTTTGAAACAGCCTTTAAACCATATTTTCAGCATACACGTCCTGTGAAGTCTGAGTTAGAGAGACACGTGCTGTCTATTGGCTACGAGGTATCAAAAGAGCCCCCCAATGCCCCTGACAAATGCCTGAGGTATGATATATACATCCATTTGTTTCAGGAATCAGAAATGGCCTATATTTTTCAGTGTGAATTTGGGAATTCACAGAGATTGAAGCTGTCTCCTGCGCTGTATATACTCTTACCATCAATGTCCCCTTCCCCCAGAATGAAGAAAAATAAGCTCCATTTCTCTTTTCCTTCAACCGCCACCCTTTGCAGAATGTGGGGGCTGATCACCGTATTAAAAAGTCTCTTATTGTGTCTTTCTTTCCGGCCTCGGCTCTGACTCAGGGTGGTGGACCCTGTGACTGAAACCTTGGAGGGAGGAAAAAGTGTTTCATTCTAGAACCAGGAGGGAAACGTCTGGGAAAATCCTGTTGCATAGAGTGACTATTTAAAGAATGGAGACACCGATGAAAGGACGAGGGAACCGAAAGGGGAGATTTGTTTTGTACCTTCCTAGAGGGAGTGACAGAGCTGGGTTCTTAATGAACTAACTTCTCGACTGTGTCCTCCAGAAGTTCATGTGAGAGGAGACCATCAGAAGGAACTCATGCCAAGGCTGATGTGGGAGCTCCCTTTCCTGACTCTCGCAGCCACAACAAGCCACACCCAAGTGCTGGGAGACCAGCAGCTGGAGAGGAGGAGGCTTAATGAATAAGCTCCAAAGTCAGGTGACCCAGGTGCTTCGGGCGCTCTCAGGGCCTCCCCAAAACAACCACCTCGGGTTCCTGGAACTACAAACGGGAAGGTCCAATACACTGTTCCCCACATGGAGCGGTCACGGTAGGTACCGACTTGAACTTCAGCTATGCAGGCAGATATCCTATCGGGACTCCTGGGTCAGGGCCCCTCAGTAGGGCTTCATCACTGGACCCCACACTCCTTGGGATTTTCCATGTCATCTCCTTCAAAGTCCGGCTTCAAACTCTTTTTTTGCTCGATCTCCACCTGCCAAGAATAGAAGTTGGAGAGAGATATCAAAAGAAGAGAAAAACATCCCAAGAAATGTGTAAACCAAAAGAGAGTACCTCAGTGGGTTTAGATTCTTTGAGATTCCTCGTAATTCTGTCATGCTTTGGGCTTCAGCCACACCAGAGCTACCGGCCCCGTTTACAACAGGACCGTCTCATTGTGCACACTATTTGCTTGGCCTGCAATTCCCTCTCCCTCACTGTCCACCTGCAGATTTCTTCTTCTTTGCCTTGCACAGTTGCTCAAAGGTCATCTCTTCTGTTTAGAGCTATTCTTGACCCTTCAGGCAGAGTCAGGGGCTCCCCTGGGCACATTCCCACTGTACCCCATACACTGGCCAAGTTCCACTGTACCATAGTCTCCATAGGACAGGGACTGGCCCTATTCACTACTGTAGACCAATAATGTAAGCAAACAGCAGGCGATCACACAGGTTTATAAACGAATGAATTCCTTTTCAATTGGCTGTCTACACTCTCCATTTCTTTACCTCTTTTAAAAAGTTTCCAAGCTGGTAAGTATTGCGCTGTTTATAGTGTTACCCGTATCGTCTAAAATGCTGTAGCTATAATTATCAAGGACTTAGAAATTAATCTTGCCTTGAAAGTGACAGAATTTGGCGGAAGCCTTTGACAAGTCAGGCAGGGAATCTTTCCAGCTAGGGAGTTTCACTTAAAGCGCTCCACTCACACCAATGTCGACATTTATGATGAGGGGGAAATTCAAGACAGAACAGTTGACTGGGGCAGCGAATTTTTTTTTTTTTTTTTCAGGAACAGAATTTTATTCAGGACATCTGTACAGCAAGTAAGCTGAGTCGAAAAATGGCATCAGCTGAGGCAGCAATTTTTTTTTTTTTTTTTTTTTTTTGAGGCAGCAATTTTTAACCGGTGTGCCACAAGAATTTTTAAAACATGCACTACCTGACTATTGAGTCAGGGGCACTGACCTCTTTTCCTTTAGACTGTCAAATAAAAAAATGACAATAGCCACACAAAAATAGTCATCTGGTGTGAATGAATCAAAGTATATCTATTTTTGTCAGGTAGGCAAAAAATATAATATAGTCCACAGAATGTTAGTAATTACTTTACATGTGCCATGAGATTAAAAAAAGGTTAAAAATCGCCTAACTGGGGTCCTGTCTGAGGAAAGTGCTGTTTTTTATCTGGCCACAAGATGGAGTATTTGTTCTTTTTCGTAGACCACACAACTAAGGAAGCAATTAAAAAACAAATCACCATATAAATCCAGGGATATTATTATAAATAAAAAATTGTTAAACCACTTTGCAAAATCCTTCTTCAATGACCCCCCTAATAACCCCCATTTTCTTTTCTTTTCTTTCTTTCTTTCTTTTTTTTTTTTGGTACGTGCCCCTAGCGGGAACCGAACCACAGACTTTCTGGTCTGCAGGCCGATGCTCCAACTGCTGAGCCAAACCGGCCAGAGCACCCCCATTTTCCATCTCTGACATTTAATATCCTTCTATTGAACCTCTAGCTCCTCAGGATGCAATCACTATTCATGTCCGAACACTCCAACTTGGTTTCCTCCGTCCCCAGCCCCAATCCCATTACTATTCTAGAAGCTGGTTTGGCTTTTGAGTTTTGTCCTGTTGCAGCCCAGGGACCAGGTCACCTATGTCTAATTTTACTCAGACCCACTTCATCAACTCCTGTAGCTGAAATGTATGCTTTGGGACAGCGCTTTTCTGACACTCCCCTACTAGGCTTCCAAATTCACTACTGTGTAACATAAATTATAGTATGAGTGAGTAATAATAATCCCTTTACCCCATTCTCTTTTTTTATGTTGTTTATAATGACTGAAAGACATTATATTCTCCTCTTTCATCCGCTTCTTTATTTTTTTCCAACCTTTCTCTTGCCCACTAGAGAGATGATTCCTTGAAATCAGAGCACACTCACCCACAGCTAGGCGCCATGGTGAACCACCTGCAAGGCGGTAAGAGAGCACTTTGCACCCAGGGCAGGCACTACTACGAGGAATGAGAAGGGGGAGGGTACAGGGTGAACACATGGACTTGGGAACATCAGCCAGATGCCTCTCAGGCTACCTTGTAGCTGTAGTGTGCGGAATAATTGACCCACTTCCTGATGTCAGTCTTGTCTTCCACAGAGATGGATCTCACGGCAGCTTTGGAGGCAGAAGTTGTGGGCATGCTGAACTCGACATTCACGTGATTGGCAAATCTGGAAGGCACTTCCCGGTCGGAGCCAAGTTCAAGGTGGCAGAAGAAGCAGTGTGGGTGGCCAGACGCTATGAGACAAAGACAGAGAATATAGACCAGGTTCTTTGGGGAGGAAGTGGAAGAAGGGCCACCCCAGTAACAAAGGAGGCCTGGAAGTCTTCCAGAGGGTCCCACGCTGAGCAGTGGGGTTGACCCTGCACAAATCACGCTGCCCGTGCCGCAGGCCCTCTGATAGAACAGTATCTGACTGCAGCCGCCTGGTATCCTAGCCATGGAGCCATGGCTGAGAAACACAGGTCATCCTGCCTGCTCAGGTTCAGAGTGATACGTGAGCACAGCACAAATACTAAGAAATGGGGGCTGTAGATGGGCAGAAAGGAATAAAAGGGATCAGCACTTAGTGCCCAATAAAACATCAGTGACAGCCACCTGGAGCAAAATCATCGATTTCCTTTGAAAGATGGATTGAATTTCCTTAATAGCGTTTCCTATGTAAAAAAAAAAAAGTTTCTGGACTGGCCAGTTTGGCTTAGTGGTTGGAGAGTTGGCCCCAGGACCAAAGAGTTGCAGGTTCGATTCCAGTCAAGGGCATGTACCTCAGTTGCAGTTAGGTCCCTGGCCCTGGTTGGGTTTGTGCAGGAGGCAACCAATCAATATATCTCTCTCACATCAATGTTTCTCTCTCTCTCTTCCTCTTTCTCTTTCTTTCTTGCTTTCCCTCACACTTTATCTGAAGATAAACAGAAAAATATCCTCGGGCCCAGCTGCTGTGGCTCAGTGGTTGAGTGTCGACCCATGCACCAAGAGGTTGCTGGTTCAATTCTTAGTCAGGGCACTTGCCCAGTTGTGGGCCAGGTCCCCAGTGGGGGGCATGCAGGAGGCAGCCAATCGATGTTCTTTCTCATTGATGTTTCCATCTCTCTCTCCCTCTCCCTTCCTCTCTCTCTAAAATTAATAAAGAGCCCTGGCCAGTTTGGCTCAGCGGTTGAGCATTGGCCTGTGGACCAGAGAGTCCCGGGTTCGGTTCCTGCTAGGGGCACGTACCACAAAAAAAATAAATAATAAAAAAATAATAAATAAATAAAATAATATAAAATTAATAAAGAAAAACAATAACCTTGGGTGAGGATTTTAAAAAACTGTTTTTGTGGGTGAATGTCATATGTAAATGACACAGCCTTTATACTATAGCACATTTATATTTGGGAAGCACCCAGACTAACAGCAGTCCTGGATTTGACTTCCAGCTCTCCTGCTAAGTAGCAGAGATCCTTCACTCAAGTCCTTTATTCTCTCTAGACCTCAATTCCTCGTCTGCAAGTGGGGGACCTGGGGGTGGTAGGAAAGGGAGGGCTGGACAATGCCGGGTAGAGTCCCTTCCTGTCCTTCAATTCTATAAATCTATGGCTCGTTCTGCTATACTTGGAGGACAAACTCAAGGTTTGATTTTCACTCGAGAATTATTATTAAGTACTTGAGGAGAAAGAGTTAGAACTTGTTTCTGTGACTGTCGCTCCTGAAGCACTGCCATTGTTGTCATCATCGGACAAGGCAGGGACACATTTGTTGAGTGCTCTGTGCCAGGTCCTGAGCCAAACGCTTTCCATTCCGCAGATTCTCACACTGCCTCTTCCAATAGTCCCGGAGGTCAGACTATTACACTCCCCTAAAAGTGGCAGCGCTAAGACCCGAACCCTGCAGTCTGACCCCAAATGGTCTTAACCGCTTTGTCTGAGTCGTAACTTCTTGGTTCCCTGACCTTGAGACCAGGTTTGCAGGGTGACCTGTAGGGGAAGTCAGCTGTAAGAACCCCAACATAGCGGCTCGCCACAGACAAGCAGTGTTACATGGCTTTGATTTCATTACGTAACTGAAACGGTCCTTGGCTATCTGAGTTTTCCCAGATAAATAATTCCAATTTTCTTTATTGGTCTGGGCAGGACTTTTTAATCTCAATAAGTGAGGCCCTACACACCCTCTCTCCAAGGAAACATTACAGAGTGAAGTATTTGTTTTGCTCTGTTTCACAAATAACCACAGAGACGTTTCAATGATTATTTCTAAAGAGTAAAATGTCAGGAAATTAAATGAAAAATTTGCACTGGTTTTACAAAAGGAATTTAAGACACATGTAATAGTAAAAATATTATTTAAAAATAAATCCATTCAATTTTTTAAATTGTGTACCACAGATATAATTATCTAGCTATCGTATATTGAGCGTTTATTACAGGCCAGAGACTGTGCTAAACACTTAAAAGCATTATCTAATTTCATTCTTAATGAGTTAGGAATTAATAACCCTATTTTATAGGTGAGGAAAATGAGATTTCTCTGAAAGGTCTAAGTAAATTGCCTGAGGTCACAGAGCTATTAAATTGTAGAACTGGAAATAAAACTCAGATCTGACGGAATAAATTAAGCCTAAACTTCTCTCAATGTACAGCTATGGATTTAAATCACTACAAAGTATACAGAGCAATTTCTTAATTTAATTCAATAGCAACTTGAAGCGTCGTTTTATGTAGTGACCTTTATTTACACTTTTGGACTATTGAGAAATCGTTGCTTTCTACAAAACTGACCCTCTTCCATCACGCTCACCCCACCAAGGTGTGCTCACAGCTGAGTGTGGAGGCAACAGGCTTTCTTGATTCCCAGCATCAGCTAATGGCGTGTAGGGTTGGTGGACGGATAGGGAAGTGCCGTGTTGAAAGCTAGTATAGTTTAAATTATGGTAATGAGCTAATGAACCCATGCGTTATGTCATCTTCCTTGATGAACTTGAGAAAATTCAACGCTACAATTCAGATTTCTATTTTCCATAAAAATCACCACATTGGGATTGTGTTCTCTTCACCTGGTCTAATGAGAACTGGAATTCCGGCAAAGAAAGCTACCTTGCGGGACCGAACGTTCTGTTCCCTGTGGGGGGTCTGGGAAAGCAGCGGGACTGGCGCTTTGTTCTGGTGCCCTTTGGTGTAAGAAAACTCTTGGGACCAGTGTGGGAGGGGTCCTGGTAGAAGACAGAGAGATGGGGACCATGCATGCACATGGCTGGGTTGGGCTCTGCCGGAGGGAGCCGTGATGGAACCCCATAGTGGCTTGTTAGTCATTCGATGGCTGGGACCGGGACACACCTGCTGTGGCTGCAGGCTTGGGACACCAGCCAAGCCAGAGGTGCTGCCCTGTGGGCCCACCCCGCCTGCGGTCTGACTGCCCTGCTCCTGGGGGCTGGGAGCAGGGCCACTGCAGGTGGGAACAGGCATGCAGAGATTCAGGCCTCCTGCACTGTAAATGGAGGTGTGAGGATTATGAAGAATAATCTATCAAAGGCACCTTCCCAAGGCTATCTGAAGACCAAGTCAGAAAAGCCAGGGGAAAAAAGGCAATTACTAATAAATCATCATCAATTCTCTGTTTTGTTTTGTTTGTTTTGGGGACTGGATAGGGAGGACCAGGGCTGGGCACAGTGAGTACCAGCAATGGTAAGAATCTGCTTTCTGCCCTGACCGGTTTGGCTCAGCGGTTAGAGCATCGGCCCGCAGACCGGAGAGGCCCGGGTTTGGTTCCCGCTAAGGGCATGTACCTCGGTTGCAGTTTGTCCCCGGCCCCAGTTGGGGTTGTGTGGGTGGCAACCACTCAATGTGTCTCTCTCACATCAATGTTTCTCTCTCTTTCTCCCTCTCTCCCTCCTGATCTATCTGAGGATAAATGCAAAAATGTCTTCAGGTGAGGATTAAAAAAAAAAAAAAAGAATCTGCTTTCTCCCTGGAATTCAGATCATGTACACCTGAAATTTCCAGAAAACGGTGCTATCCAGTTCCTAAACTGAAACAGAATTGGCTGGAAGTGTCATGAGGAGCCCTTTTTTTTGGGTTTCACTTCTACATCTATGTAGCCATGACAGCAGATGCAGCCAGTGGGGTAGGGGGAGGAGGGAATTTAAGGGAGAAACATTCCTAAATATCCTTACGCTTCCCTGTATTTCAAAAATCTCTCACAAATAAGGGTTCAGTCATGTGGAAATACATATGTAATATATAAGCTGCATTTACTTGGCCTCGGGCCTACGGAACACTACCCGCTGGGAGGCATTAGGAAAGTGTTTGTGAAGATCTATTTCCCCCCGTCCTGCATCCATTTTTCTTTCTCCTGGTAACTATCTCCCCGACTCTTTGGGAAATAATCTTCTCAGCACTGTATGTCATCTTGGTGGTCATGCCAGTCAAAATGCACTGTCCCCCATGACTTGAGCCAAGCGGCACAGGAACAGACATTGGCGTGTGAGCAGTCCCAACGGCTGCAGCTGAGCTGACATTGTCGTTCCTTCCGGCAAGAGCTGGCCTTCCTTCACGTCTGAGCGGCCCATAGCCTCCGACAGCTTTCCCCCCTTAAAGGAGACATCAGTCTTTTATAACCCCAAATCCCTCAGGTAGTAGTAATGCTTTTAAATATTTGAGAGAAAGAAGATGGAAACAAATGATATATGTGTGTACATGTTGGGAAAACGGCAAATCTCTATTCCCATAGTGGAAGTTCTTTCAAGTTTGGGTCTATTTGGTGTCATGTACGAAGAGGCAGCTGTGGTGTTGCAAAAAGACCCCTGTGGCTTTGGGGTTTTTTTTTTAATCCTCACCAGAGAATATTTTCGCATTTATCTTCAGATAGAGTGGGAGGAGGAGAGAGAGAGAAACATTGATGTGAGAGAGACACACTGACTGGTTGCCTCCTGCATGAGCCCGACCAGGGCTGGGACCGAACCAAAACCAAGGTATGTACCCTTGACCAGAATTGAACCCGTGACTCTTTGGTCTTCAGGCCGACACTCTAACCCCTGAGCCAAACTGGCCAGGGCAACCCTGTGGCTTTGTGACTTCAGACGAGTCCTGTCACCTCCCAGCCCTTAATTCTCTCCTATGTAGAATGAAGAGGTTTGAGTACGTTGTCCCCAAGGTCCTTTCCACCTCGAAAAACCCAACAGTTCCCAAATAAAGTTACCTGAATCTATGCCTAGTACACTCAAAAAATCCCCATAAACAGAAACCTGAAGCCTTGTTTTTTCCCATGTCAAGGGCCTAGCAGGTTAAACAGTAATTTTCTCCCTGTCACCTCGTTTTCTTCCCAGGGCCTTCTGTGCCAAAGAATTCAGGATTTCTCCTTTCCTCCACAGTTCAGAGGGGCCCCAGGGCTGAGGCAGAGACCACAGTACTCTCGTCAGGAGACTGCAGTGATCTTTCGGGGTACATGGATTCGCAAGCACAGAGACGAAGACTTTGTTGTAAAAATTCTGTCAGTTTAGAAATAGAGGGTGGCAAATCCAGCTCCAGACACAGAGGTCCGATTGTCCCCTCAGGCTGCACTGCTACGCCCCGTGTCTGACACAGAGGCCCTGGTGTGCGTCCCCAGCCCGGAGCGCGGACCAGACCCTCCTGCCATCACATTGTATTATATTTAGAGTATGACAACACGGCCTTCTCCACACAGAACAGGAAATGAAGACGCTGAACACGCCATTACAATGGAAAGAAGATCTGCACAAGAGAAAGACATTCCCGTCAAGAGTTTTCCCAAATCTCACTCTTTTTGCTCAGCTAGGCTGTCCAGTTATGTTACTAGTTGAGCAAAGTTTATTATAAACAAGACGAGAAGTGGTTTAAAAGAGCTTCGCATCATGGGCTGGTTGCCTGCCCCTGGGGTCACCCAGACTTACTCTCATACCTAACGCTGGCTGGATGGCTCCCTAGTGTTGTTGCTCCACTGACTCTCACTGTGGTTCCGAGGAGCGTCACTGCCTTCCGGGCTCATCGAGCCCAGAACCACCCGACACCTGTGAGCAGGCCAGCTAGGGCTGGTAACTTTCTCTCTGTGTTTAAATCAAACATCCCTTCCTTTACTTTTTGTTCGCTAGAACTTCAGCCTTTTGGACCTTCCTATCCTGGCTGAATCTTCAGTCTGATCAGAGGCCATTTCTCCTCTTCTTTACCCCCAAACCCCAGGGCTGAGCTCGAGATGTCAGGATGGACAGGCCTTTCGCGGGGCGGCTGGAGGAGAAGTCACTCCTCACCGGTACCGTGTATTCGACTAGCTGTAATCAACACCAGGGCATATTAAAAAGGTATCTCTTCAGAACCCAGAGCCTTCCAGGGTCTGGAAGTGGACGGCTTCCAGCACCACAGATAACATTTTAATGAGCAGAAAGGAATATAAATTCACAAGCTGCCCTGGAAAGCGGCTCAGCAGCTCAGCTGAGAAGAATGAGTAGTTTTATAGAAGACGTGGGATAATCAAGGACGTGAAAGGAGGGAGTGAAGTGTGTCATCCATATTTGTTAGTGACTTGGCTCAAATATTTGGGCTTGTGTTGTCCCACTCTCCCTCCACCCCCATCCCCATCACACATCAGCACTCAGCACTTCAGCCTTGGCCAGCGTGGCTCAGTGCATTGGAGCACTGTCCCATGCACCAAAAGGTCGCAGGTTTGATTCCCAGTCAGTGCACATACCTGGATTGCGGGTTCAATCCCCAGTCGGGTGTGGATGGGGCAACCGATATATGTTTCTCTCTCACATTGGTTTCTCTCCCTCTCTCTCTCTCTAAAAAAAAAAAAAAAAAAAAAAAAATCAATAAACACATACCCTTGAGTAAGGATTTAAAAAATAATAATAATTTTTTTTTTTTGCATTGTTCTTCAGATAGAGCTGGAGGGAGAGAGGGGAGAAGAGAGAGAGAGAAACATCAATGTGAGAGAGACACATCGAGTGGCTGCCACCCACACAACCCCAACCGGGGCCAGGGACAAATTGCAACTGCGGTACATGCCCTTAGTGGGAACCGAACTGGGGACTCTCTGGTCTGCGGGCCAACGCTCTAACCGCTGAGCCAAACTGGCCAGGGCTAATAATAAATTTTAAAAAAGAAAAACTCAGCCCTTCATAGGGAAGTGGGATGTGACCTGTGTCCCAGCTGGGAGGCCACCATGTGGTGACTTTCACGGCCGAGAAAGCCCCACCTACCTGAGTTTTTGTCAGGCAGTCGGTTTATCCTCCACACAATGGAGTTGAAGGCATGCTCATACTTGGCAGTCCCCAGAGTCACCCTCATGACAGGCTCAGAGCCACAGACGCTAGTTGAGCCAAAACTGGCCCCTCGGTTCACTTTGGCTTTCAGAGACTTTTCCCCCAGGACACTGTCCCTGCGGAAGTTTTTCACCCACTCACTGGGCACAGGGTAACGCACCATCACATTCTCACAGGGGACCTGAGTGAGGGGGTCACAGTTGGAAGAGAAGCCCGTAGACATCCTCAGCCAGCTCTGTACCTCCACCTCCGCCCCGTTGATGCTGGCTGCCGTCCTGAGCGTGAACGGCAAAGTCTTCTCGGCGAACACCGTCCTGAAGCGCATCAGCTCGAAGCGGCACGCGTCCAAGGGGTTGAACAGAATCACCCGGGAGCTGCTGAATACGTCCTCGTCCACGCACCCGTGGAAACGGCACTCGTGGAGCTTGATCCACTTGGTGGTGGTGGTCGGCACGATGTCTTGCCGGGACACGACTTCATTTCCTTTGACGAGGACGTCGTTGAGGCCCAGGCGGCACTCTGCGAGCCCAGAGAGGAAACTCAGAACGTGGATCCGTGTCAAGACGTGGTGCTGGAGAATCTGGTTGTCCCCTTTGCTCACAAGGGCGGAGAATTCATCTCTGACGTCCACTGTAATCTCCTCTTCAAGGTAGTTCAAGCCGACGGTGCTCAAGTCCATGGACAACACGGGCAGATCCATGAGACAGTCCTGAACCGCGCGGATGAAGCTCAGGAAGTCATCGTAATTGGTGGTGCCGAGCTTAATCACTTGCTCCCTCTCTGCTGTGTGGGCCACAGCAGGTTTGGGCTGGTACTTCTTCTTCTCCTTGTAGGTGACTCGGTCTATCCGCAAGCTGTGGATCCTGCCATTCTCATCATAGTTTTGGAGCCGGGGTTCTGAAATCTCGTGGCAGATTTCCAGCTTGAACTCGCGGAATGGCTTTTCTAGGCCCTGCTCGTAGTATAGCTGCAGGTAACCACAATCTGTCAGCTTGATGTAGATGGGTCCCCAGTGCCTGGAGGACATGATATTTTTCTTTTCAGGGATTCTTAGCATCATTGACCACCCATCCCTGGGCTGGGATGGTGCTGAACCAGGCGGGTGGTCATCTAGTTTGAGCCAGGCTGATGGGTCATCGTCAGGCAGTGTCGCACTGCCCAAGTGGTCAGGGTCATCGATCTGGAGTTGTTTGAGTTTTTCAACAGCTTCAGAGTGTGACTGGTTTTTGCTTGAGTCATCAAAACTGATAGCATCCTGGTAGATGACAATGAGAGAATCTCTTTGGCTCTTGCCGGTGGCACGAGACCTGGAATTGTTTTGGGAGCGTCTCTCCTGTTCCTCGAAGAAAGCACTGAAAGGGTTGATTGGGGAGGGTTGTACGTTCTGGAGCGTCTCATTCAGGAAAGGATTGGTGGCCCTCCAAGGTGGAGCCTCAGCTATGGATGGCGGATGGTTTAAGGAGGAAACGTCCAGCTTCTGAACTTTGGAGAAATTCATCAAAGTGCTCTTGGGACGTTCCCTCTTCTTAAATGAGCCAGTTGAGTTATAAGGTACATCTGGGGTCACAGAAGCAACAGGTGGTGTGTTCAACTTCAGAGGAGAGGTGATGGGTGGCAAAGGGCAGCTGACTTCATTGTCATCAAAAGTGACCCAGCTGGGGAAACGAGCAGAGGTCACTGGAGTGGCAGGGTGTCCGTTCATTACTGGACTGCTGGCCTCCATGTCTACCTCTTCATCTTCCTGGAGCGAGGAAGAGTTGTCTAAAAGGAAAAGGAAAACACATGAGGGCTACTATTCAGGGCCCCTAGGAAACTGAGGTATGGGGATGAGGGACAACTAGATTTTTTTCTGGAATCCAATAAATGCTAAAGCAGCTCATTACCTGTCTCAAGTGTTTAGTCTGGGCACAGATCTCATAATTTTGTAATAAGCGCACAAGAGGGGCCATACATCCAATATAGTAGGAGTACAAGTGAATCTATTGATACAGAAACCCTGGTAGAACCAAGGTCCCTTGCAATTTAACTCATACATTCTTCCTTTTATATAAATTTCTACAATAAATGATTTCTTTCCTCTGAAGTATGTCTTCTTAATTTTTAAACATTGAAAACCACCTCCCACATAAAATGATATAAAGCTGACCTCATTGAATAAAACAAGTTATCTGCTCTAAGTGATAATATGATTGCAAATAATGTAATTAGAGAGCTTTTTTTTTAACTAAATGTGGTCAATTTATATTAAAGACAAAATGTTAATATCCTTAATACAAAAAAATTTCACATAAGCGAATAAGAAAAGTACAAAAAGTTTGATAGAAATATAGGCAAAGAACATATACAGACAAGTCAGGAAAGAGAAACTAAAAGTGTCTAATAAGCATGTAAAAAGTGTCCAATATCACTAGTAGTAAGAAAAATGCAAATTGAAAAAAACAGTGATGATGTAGAGTTTCTAGTATGCAATGAGGGTAAGGGTACTTGATATAAATAGTAAACAGACTTTCAATAAGACGTGTAAAATGCTACAAACTCTCTGAAAGAAGTGTGCAGTTTCTCTGAAGGGCCTTACAAATATTCAGAAACAAGGTCATAAAGAAACAAATCCAACTGTGAACAATGTTTTGGGTGAATGTTAAGAAATTGAACCCTGGCCAGTTTGGCTCAACGGTTGAGTGTTGGCCTGTGGACCAGAGAGTCCCGGGTTCGGTTCCTGGTAGGGGCATGTATACAAAAAAAAAAAAAAAAATAGAAAGAAAGAAAAAGAAAGAAATTGAGGCACACAATGGAATAATATCCAGCCATTAAAATGTTTATAGGCATTCAGTAACATGAGAAAACTCTCATGATATAATCTTTGTTTTTTCTCAAAAATACTTTTCTATCTTAGGGGTTTCTTTTTTAAAAAAATATGTTTTTATTGATTTTTTAGAGAGAGAGGAAGAGAGAGAGAGAGAGAAACATCAATGTTAGAGAGACACATCAATCGGCTGCTGGGGATTGAGCCCACAACCCAGGCAAGTGCCCTGAGTAGAAATTGAACCCGGACCTCTCAGTCCATGGGACAACACTCAACACACTGAGCCACAACAGCAGGGTTTAGGGATTTCTTTTACGGGGGAAAAAAAGGTATTTACAAATAAAACTCCACATTAGCAGGACATTCAAGGAAGGAGCTATAAGACTTGAGTTTCCATGAGGGAAGGATCCAAACCTTCTCAATAGCATAGACCCTGTGTGTCTGTTTTGGGAAGGGAGGGGCATATGAGGCCGTTAGCAAGGAAGAGTAAATGCAGATGAAGGAATGACACAGAAAACAAATCTGTGTCTGGCATATAGTAGGTACTCAGTTAAGGTTCGTTGATTGAATGAATGAGAACAGAAACTCTGCTTTGGAGCAGGTCCATTCGGTCTGTCTTTAAAGGAATGTGTGCAGGGATCTCTGCCACTATTCCACCCACTGTTTCTGCTGCCAGCAATTGGGAATCAGAGAGAAATGGATACTCAAATTGTGCCGATAATTAATGATTGGTAAATTATTGTGCTGCTCCATAATTGATGATTGGGAAAGTCACTGTGTGCCCTCTAGCTGAACCTGTTTAGTCAAAATAACCTCAGTAAACTGGAATACTCCCTGAACCAAGAAATTGTTGGGAGCCGGCTACGTGTCTGACAGAGTCCACGGAGACTGGAGGCCTTGAGTCAGAGACTGGACCTCCCCCACAGTCTCAAGGAATTAGGCTTGCATTGTGTTTGTGCAGCTCGGGCTAAGTGTGACCCAATGTACCTTGAAATACCTGAAATACCTGGGTATTCCTGGGTGTGCCTGTTATCCATAAGGCAAACTAATTTTATACAGCATGGCTGTGGCCCTGGGCATTATATCAAGAAGATCCTGTTTCCTGTGAGGTCTAAAAGGCATGTAATAAAGCACATCGGGGCTGATTCCGAAGACTCTGTCACAGGGGTGTTCGGAATCAGACGCCGGCCGGCTAATAAACGGCTCTTATTTGGACTTCAATTCTCTAGTGGTCTTTCTTTGACTCTGCTGGGCCACAACATTTGGAGGCTCCAGGGCTGGTCTCTGAGAACTTGGGATCAGTCACCGGCCGGCTTTGCTCTCTATTTGGCTTTAATTTGGCTCTGGTGGTCTCTCGGTTCTCGCGCACCACAATAAAATGCTTGAGTCAAATAGTTGAGTTTTCTAGCCACCTCGCTAAACCTTTGTGAATATCACATCCAACCATAACAAATCAGCAATGCCACCATAATTGCAAATGTAATTACAAGTAGATGTGAGGCTGGCATGTCATTCATCTTTCCAAGTATATTTATTCAAACAAATAGCAATTCCCTCTACTGAAAATATTTGAAAATGTAGGCTACATACATGAGCATGCATACGTAATATCCACACTCACTCCAGAAATCTAAAGAGCAAAAAGTATTTTCTATATGCACAGCACCACAAAAGGATTTCAAAGCATTTTAAAATTAAAGATGATACCATCCTTCAAATTAATCACGAATTCACTTTTGTAGATGCTTATGTGACCTGCATCTATAAAGGGAAAAGGGTAAGGAAACAACCCAGGTTTTAGAATTTATATTTTATTTATTACTACTACTGAGGGGAAAATGTGGCCCTGAGTAAAATATAATCTCTTCCTTGGAGCTGTAACTGATCTTCCCTAGAGGACCGGGGAAGGAGGGAACCTCGAAACACATCGATTTCTAACGAATCGGCTCTGTGGAGTTTCTGTAAAGCGGCGGCTCCACCCGCCCAGTCTGGTATTGAGCCACCCTTGTATCAGGGACATCCTTTCTGCCTTGGAGCTCACCACCACTCCCTACTTCACAACAAGCTAAAGTCCTTTCCCTCTGGAGGCTGGCTTTCTGCCAAAACTGCTGAAGGAATCCCATCTGTTGGGAATCTTGTCCCCAAAATAGCATTTCTCATATTCTTCTCTCAAGCCAAAAAAGAAGCGGGGGTGTGGGGGGGAGCAGGGGTGGGGGCCTTTGCCTCCACTGAAGATAATTTTCTTCCAATAAATATCTTTCTTTTTAAATATGTTTCTGTTGATTTTATTTATTTATTTTCATCCTCACCCAAGGACATTTTTACATTTATCTTCAGATAGAGTAGGAGGGAGAGAAGGAGTAAAAGAGAGAAAGAAACATCGATGTGAGAGACACATCAATCGGCTGCCACCCACACGACTCCAACCAGGGCCAGGGACAAACTGCAACTGAAGTACGTGCCCTTAGCGGGAATCGAACCCGGGACTCTCTGGTCCACGGGTTGATACCCTAACCGCTGAGCCAAACCGACCAGGGCTGTTTCTATTGATTTTAAAGAGAATAAGGGAGAGAGAGAGAGAAACATTAATCAGTTGCCGTCCGTATACATCCGGATTGAACTTGAAACCTGGGTATGTGCCCTGACCAGGAATCAAACCAGTGACCACATGGGACGATGCTCAGCAAACTGAGGCACTCCAGGGAGGGCATAATACATTTCTTTTTAATGTAAGTTATTTAAAATCACACCAAGTCCTAGATGGTTTTGTTTTGTTTTTTGGTACGTGCCCCTAGCAGGAACCGAACCCAGGACTCTCTGGTCCGCAGGCCGATGCTCCAACTGCTGAGCCAAACCGGCCAGGGTTCTAGATGGTTTTGATGCATTAGACTCATAATTTAAATGAAATGTCTTATATTTGGAGGAAAAAATTTTAAATTAATTTCTAAAGATTCTGTGTTCTCTTGGACAATCAGTAAGAAGTATCAAAAGACTGTGTTACAAAATTTCTTCTACTTTGGCAATTTCATCTCTCATGATTACAACCCGCTTCAAAAATCCATCCTTTGTGATGGTAGTGGATTATAGGTTAAAGCTCTCAAAATGAGAGCTATACTTATAGAGAAAATACATATTTTTAAAAAAGTATTTTTATTGATCGTTAGAGAAACATGGATTTGTTATTCCACTTATTTATGTATTCATTGGCTGATTCTTCTATGTGCCCTGACCAGGGATAGAACCCATAATCTTGGTGTATAGGGATGATGCTCTAACCAACGGAGCTATCGGGCCAGAGCTGATAAAAAAATATCTTAATAAAGACACTTTACAAATAAAAAGCAAAAGTGGTCTGTGGTTCACATGAAAATAAAGCATTTAATGAGGTGAACCCAAGAACTGCCAAACACAAATTACTCCTTATTAACATTGACGTCCCTATTTGTAAACTCTTAATTTTGCTTCACTCAGTATTGACTGAAAGACATTTTTCAACTGTTTTTACAAAGGTTGGGCCATATGTTTTTCTGAGCTTCTTTTTTTTCTTTTTATCCTCACCTGAGGACATTTTTGCTTTTGTCTTCAGTTAGAGCAGGAGGGAGAGAGGGAAGAAGAGAGAGTGAAACATCGATGTGAGAGACACATCAAGTGGTCGCCACCTACACGACCCCAACTGGGGCCGGGGACAAACTGCAACCCAGGTACGTGCCCTTAGCGAGAACCGAACCTGGGTCTCTCTGGTCCGCGGGCCAACGCTCTGACCGCTGAACCAAATTGGCCAGGGTTCTGAGCTTCTTTTTATTAAAGGTTGTTCTTTGGAACCTTCACCTACAAAAATAACTTACCTGTATGTAAATTTTTTTGGGGAAAATATTTGCCTAGTACATGGTAAAAACATAAGATCCTTAATATATAATGACAGCGTATCCTTAATAAAATTAGATACACCCTCACACAC